AAGCCAACAAAAGGCCGAACTGTTTCAGATCCGAGCAGTTTTGGCTATAAGAACTCTTACCTCCTGTTGTCAGTGCCCATGGTGGAGCTGGGGGTAGGGCTGGGCCTGGTAGAAATGAGGTGATCTCTAAGAGCAGACAGAGTCATCAGCATGTAACTCATGAGGGCATCCACCTGCAGAGGAAATCCACCCCAGATATGGTTTATAAAAGTGCTCCTGGTAAGACCTGGGGAAGAGCTGGGTGATCAGCGGTTCTAGGGAGATGTGGGAAGAGGAAACTTTAATGTGAAGAGGTGTGTGGTGTGGTCTCGTCATCCTGAAGTAGGGGAGTTGACAATGAGGATGTGTTGGTATCAATCCAGCACTGTCGTCCTCCAGACATTTTAAAAAGTGTCTAGAAGATTCTGCTGTGTCAGAGATGGGTGCTGAGAAAACAGGTATGGTTTTGGCATCTGGGGAATTCCTACTATTAGCGTGCTTTTTGTCTGCGTCTGGCTTGGACGGTAAGGACACGTGCATCTCATCAGACAGGAGGCCCACTGTCGGCTCGGCTCCAGGCCCTGTATGATCACTGACTCATTGTCCTCTGGGCTCTGGTACTTTCCATCTCCTGGCTTTGCTGTTTTTATTGGTTCTGTCTTCAGGCAGGTGGCCAGATGGCTGCAGCTGGTCCAAATTCACATCGAGACTATCTTCTTAGCTCCTTGGGAGTGAGGCGAGTGTTGAGGCTTTGAAACCTTTTCGCAGGCTCTCCCTCGCTTCTCACGAGCTAGAGTTGTGTCAGAGGATCTTCGGGAAACAGGATCACTGTGATGATCTAGATGCAGCATCAGGGGTGGGATGCATGGGTCTCTAACGTAGTCCATTTCCAAGGTGTGCCGTGAGCAGGCAGACAGGCTGTTCACGTGGCACAGTAAGGCCCAAGGAGGTTGTGGGAGCATAGACAGCGACCCTTGTGTTTGAGTCTTGAAAGGGGCAAGTAGAAGTTATCTAGTATGGGGGGGTGGGGTAGGTGAGATAAGGAGGCAGAACCGAAGAGACAAGAAGGCTTTCCTCAGAGGGAGACATACTGTCTAAAGCAGTGGTTTGCAAAGTGTGGTCCCCAGACAGGCAGTGGAAGCATCACCTGGGACTCTTCCTAGACATGCAGATTCTCAGGCCCCACCTGCACCCTGTGGACTCAGAAACTCTGGGGTGGGGCCCAGCGGCTTGTGGCTTCACAAGCCTCAGGCTGAATCTGATGTACACTCAGTCTTGAGACCCTCCAGCAGAGGTGTGGGAGGTCAGCACACAGCTCGCCCTGTAGCTGCAGGGGACAGGGTGGGAGAACAAGCATGCACGCGCTGTCTGTAAGAAAGAGGGAAGATCTCAGAGAACTTTACTTCATTTTGGCATAGGAGTAGTGGCTCATTCATTAATCAACAAACATTTGTTGAACATTACTGGGTGGGAAGACAAAAGTGAATAATTACACTTTGAAATGAATGAAATTGAAGACAACAGACACTAAACTTCCACGATTTAGCTGAAGCAGGACCTCAAAGCAGGACCTCAAGGACAACACTGTACTAGAAGTCCTAGCCAGAGCAATTCGGCAAGAAAAATAAATAAAAGGCATCCAGATTGGAAAGGGAGAAATAAAATTCTCTTTATTTGCAGATGACATGATCTTGTATACAGAAAATCCTGAGGGATCCATTAACACTGAGTAATTAAAACATGGTTCATACTTTGAAGGCACTCTCAGGGGAGGAGGGAGACACTGTAAATTCTGTAATGTGAATGTGTATTAATGTGTATTGTGGGAGAATTGTTTCCCAGAGAAGATGCTTCACCTGGGTCCACATGGGGGATGTAAACATTTAAACAGGAGATTGCAAAGTGGACAGTGGGGGTGGGGGACAAAGGTGGGCATTTTAGGCAGAGAAAGACATATGCAGAGGCACATGTGTGCAGCTGCAGGGTCAGAGATGAGCTGCACATGTGCCTGCAGAGTGGGGTTGAGGTGGGGACAGTGGTGGGAGGTGAGGTTGTAGAGGTAGCAAGATCTACATCACAGGGACCCTTATGTGCCCTCCAAGGAGTTTGGACTCCACCTTCCAGGCAGTGGGGATTGCTTGAGGATTTTAATAGGGGCATTGGGACCAATTATGTGATCATGTAGAGTCCCTTGGGTGTCGTCAAGGGGCCCTGGTGTCTTACATATGTTCATTTGTCTTAGGTGGAAGTGGCAGGGTCTTAGTATGAGGTCCCATTCTTTTCCAGGTTTCTGGGTGGAGCGGACCCCTGTGCATGAGGCAGCCCAGCGGGGTGAGAGCCTGCAGCTGCAGCAGCTGATCGAGAGTGGCGCCTGTGTCAACCAGGTCACAGTGGACTCCATCACACCCCTGCATGCAGCCAGTCTGCAGGGCCAGGCACGGTGTGTGCAGCTACTGCTGGCAGCTGGGGCCCAGGTGAGTGGCCCTCGGGACAGACCCCGGACCTGTGGCAGCTGTGGAAATGCATGGGGCTGACGCAGGAGAAGTGCAGAGGGAGGAAAAGAAGTGGTTTGGGATTAGCTTTCTGTGATCTGCAAACACACGGATAGCAGAGACCCTGGAGGAGGAGCGCCAAGAGAGGCGGGAGGAGGGTGTGCTGGAGGCTGAGGGAGAACGGGATGGCATGTGTCAGCCGCACAGTGGGGACAAGGAGGTGGGGGCCTGGAAGTGATCGTGGAGTTGGCTGTGAGGAGATCACAGTGGCTGAAGAGAAGGCAGTTCTAGCGCAGCGGTGGTGGACTGCCCTGCTCTGCAGTGGCAGTGCCAGCCGGCCAGCTCCATCCTGGACATGGGCTCTAGGGGAGGGCCGCCTGGGCTGGGGCTGCTGCTGCGGCTCACAGAGCAGGGTCCAGCCTCTAGGATGACTAAGTAGGATGCTGGAAAACCAGCTCTGGAAAAACACAGGAAAAAAGGAACAAAACCAAATGTCTGACTTACTGCTTCCCTAGGGTAAACACGCACACCATGGCTGGTGTTAAAGCTGCCAGCAGTTTCTGGCCAGCAGAATTCCCGGCTCTTCAGCAGTGGGCTCTGGGCTGGTGTCAAGCTGGCAGGAGCCAGCCCCATGCACCACTGGACGATTCAGGAGGAGTGCAGGGCTGGGGTCTCAGAGTTCCAGGGGTGGAGAAGAAGTGAAGATGGTCTGTTGTTTACTCTTTCCAAAAGCTTGGGATGGAGCAAGCTTCACTGTGTACCCAGATGGTGTCTGGATTTGGACAAAGTCCAAGTAGAATTTGCCAGTTGGGGAGTGGCCGTTTTCCTGCCTGTGATTTTTACCCTGGAGGAGGCATGGGGAGCCATCTCAGGCACTCCTTCCAGCGGAGGCTCGAGTTGAAAGCCTTCTATGCCCTGCCTCCACCAGCTTGTAGCAGCCAAGGGCTCTCCTTTCCCATTCTGTGCTTTGTGTTTGGGGTGGTGGGGGTGAGGCTGAGCTTATCCTGCCCAAAGAGAAAAGAACCCATTGGGATGACTTCTGTACTTAGGAGGCTCCCCCAACCATGTCCTTCTCTTTGAATCTCCTCGCCTGGCTTGGTGCCTTAGCCCATGCTAGCAAACCTGTGCTTCTAAGAAGTGTGTCTGCAGAGATGAATCCACATCGGGATGAGAAAGTAGGTTGTGTGTATCTCCTGCCCTCTGACATGTGTTTCTTCCTCCCCATGAGGTGGACGCCCGCAACATTGATGGCAGCACCCCACTCTGTGACGCCTGCGCCTCGGGCAGTGTTGAGTGCGTGAAGCTCCTGCTGTCCTACGGGGCCAAAGTCAATCCCCCCTTGTACACAGCGTCCCCCCTGCATGAAGCCTGCATGAGTGGTGAGTGGGCAGGCAGTCGGGGTGGCCTACTGGGGACTCCAGAAGTCTCCTTCTTGTGAAGAACGCAGTGTAGACGGAATGGAAGCCCTGGGCTGGCAAAGGAGAGTTCTGAATCTGTTTCTAGCTCTGGGCTGCTCAGCTGTGGACATCCTAAGCTTTTCCTCCACCAGGGACAGTCTTTATCTAGGGCTGGGGCAGTTGGTTCTCTGATAGGATTCTCTTCTGAGCTGAGTCTCCATGTGAATCCTGGATCTCAGCCAGCTCCATGGTGGCTCCCGGAGTCATTGCGGTAGTTTGCCTTCCATGATCCTGATCTAGATGGGAGACCAGCAAGACCCAAACATGTCCGGAGGACCTGGGCCAGGGCTTGCTCTGACAGTCACTCCCAGAGGAGGGGGCTGGCCCTTGGGTCTCGGAGCAGGTGGGTTTCAATTGCCCTCAAAGAATGGGTGGATTTCAGATGATGGGAAGGTAAGTTGAAGGCCTCTCCCAGCATGGGAGAGTTACTTGTCCAGTCTTCTGAATTGGAAGCTCCCACATAGGAGAAACAACAGATAAGACTAGGAATCTGGGGCAAGACTGGCTCATGNCTGCTGTCCTACGGGGCCAAAGTCAATCCCCCCTTGTACACAGCGTCCCCCCTGCATGAAGCCTGCATGAGTGGTGAGTGGGCAGGCAGTCGGGGTGGCCTACTGGGGACTCCAGAAGTCTCCTTCTTGTGAAGAACGCAGTGTAGACGGAATGGAAGCCCTGGGCTGGCAAAGGAGAGTTCTGAATCTGTTTCTAGCTCTGGGCTGCTCAGCTGTGGACATCCTAAGCTTTTCCTCCACCAGGGACAGTCTTTATCCAGGGCTGGGGCAGTGGGTTTTCTGATAGGATTCTCTTCTGAGCTGAGTCTCCATGTGAATCCTGGATCTCAGCCAGCTCCATGGTGGCTCCCGGAGTCATTGCGGTAGTTTGCCTTCCATGATCCTGATCTAGATGGGAGACCAGCAAGACCCAAACATGTCCGGAGGACCTGGGCCAGGGCTTGCTCTGACAGTCACTCCCAGAGGAGGGGGCTGGCCCTTGGGTCTCGGAGCAGGTGGGTTTCAATTGCCCTCAAAGAATGGGTGGATTTCAGAT